AACCATGGTAGAGCTCCAGTTAGGACTCAAGTTCAGTGGTGTGTTAGGTCGAGTGCGTGTTCGACCCGGTTAGGAAAGTGTTGTAAGACTACGGGGGTAGTCGTAGCATTCACTAATAGTCAGATAGTATGGAAAGTGTTGTAAGACTATGGGGGTAGCCGTAGCATTCCCTAGCAGTCAGATGGTATGGAAAGTGTTGTAAGACTACAGGGGTAGCCGTAGCATTCACTAGCAGTCAGATGGTATGGAAAGTGTTGTAAGACTACGGGGGTAGCCGTAGCATTCACTAGCGATCAGGTAGTATGGAAAGTGTTGTAAGACTACGGGGGTAGTCGTCGCATTCACTAGCGATCAGGTAGTATGGAAAGTGTTGTAAGACTACAGGGGTAGTCGTAGCATTCACTAGCAGTTTGTAGCATAGAAGTGTTGTAAGTCTGTACGTGTAGCCGTAGCATTCACAAGGTTAGCAGATACTGCTAGAGTGATGTAAGACTGTGGGTGTAGCCGCAGCGTTCACCAGGTTGGTAGATAGCATGAGCGCGTTGTTAGGACGCGGAAAGAACAGGAGTACCCACCAGTTCGGGTGCAACTTTGAGGATATGGAAATCCACGGATTGGATTTCGGATTTACCCAAAAGGACTAGATCAGGTTGAGCCAGTGATACGATTGTAGGAGTGCCACTACAGTTATGAGATCAGGGAAGCAATGGACTACTTAAGGACGTGTGAGATAAGGATACCATTGGTCAGGTAGCAATCACTTTTAGTCTTGGATTTGATGATGACAGGATTCGACGCATGGACCCGATCGGTTAGATCAGAAAGTAGTAGAGTCACAGTGGCATGATAACTAGTGGAAACTAGTTCCAGAGAAGGATTTTGTTCAAGAGTCGTGTGAGACGACTAAGTGGGGGTCCTTTGGCTCCGCAGTCGGGCCGGAACCCGGTATTTCCGATGATTGGCGAACAAATTAAGACTAGGTAGGTCTCGGTAGATGTTGGGAAGCAGCCATGTGGCAACATACTGCTTCAAGCAGTTCAATGTTCGGACAGTTTCAGCGATTGGCAATATTAGTATTTGTGTTTAGGTTGCAAGTTCGGACGGAAAAGCTGGTTGATTGGGAAGTGACAAGTCACTCCCAGCGGGATTAGCTGAGCCTCGACCAAGAATAAGTGATCTGCAAGGATAATTAGGTCGGTGAACCTGTTTTATAGTGGGAGCCTCGAGCTATTAAAAGTTGAGTAGTCGGTTGAGGGATAAATGGACTGGATCCCGTGATAGTGATTCAGTATGAGTGGCTTGTCAGGGATTCAAACCATCTCGAGACAGTAGATGTCAGATGGAGTAAATGTGATCTTATTATGAGGAATTCGTTCACTTGCGGATCTTAGGGCCATGTGAAGATTGGTCACGGCTACCTCGGGGAATGATAGGGTGCGCCCAGGATGATGACCATGTTACTTGAGTAGTTGGGTGTGTAAGAAAGGATAAGGAATGATTTCGAGGACGAAATCTAATCAAAGTGGGGGAGAGTTGTAACACCCTATTTCTTTAATAAATAAATAAACGAATATAATAAATAATAATAGCCGTAACTTCCGGACCAATTATGAATAGAATTCTGATGCTAGGGGATGTTTGGCAATTTCTTTGGACTTATGTTGAAAGGAATTTTAGAGTCAGGGGGCTGGAGTGTAAATTTTGGCCTTGCTTTGAAGGAAAATGTGAAGGGAGGGACTAATTGTGGCATTATGGAAAAATGCCTAAAGGTGTCGGGTATATAGGGAATAAACCCTAACCCTATCGACCATTTTATGCAGCCGTCATCCTCCAACCTTATACCTCCCTCCAGCCGCCACCATGATATTCCTATCAATCACCGGCGACAAGGACCACCAAAGCCTCCATCGCAACTGTTGACGCCAGCGAGACGGTGCACTGCTTCTACTTCTTTGCCAATAATGACGAGGACCGCCGGCGGGAATTCCTTCGCCTATTGCCACTGCTACAGATCGCGCAGCCGCCGTATGGATCGTTTCCGTGGCTCCGGTCATTGATCGCCACCTCGAAGGGGCTATCGTGTTCGAGTGACGCTGTTTCAGCCGCCGTAAGCGTTGCTGTTCCGCCGCTGCTGCCGCCTTCATGAGTTGCTGCTGCCATCGCCGCCCACCACAGGTGGGTGTTGGGTTCGTTTTCCGAGCAAGGGATGCCGGTGTCGTCGCTGCTGCCGCTAGAGTGCCGCCTGCCGTCGCTGCCTTACATCGTCACCACCAGCCACCATGGGTGGTGGCTGTGAGTTGTGTGGGCGTGTGTTCTACTTCAAATCTGTGTAGTGTGTGGGTGTTATTTCACGTTGGTGGTGTTGGTTTGGCCAGAATCCACGAGAACAGCCACCACCACCACCGTGAGGTGGTGGCTGCCGCCATGCGCCACCGCCGGCCACCATTAGGTAGTTGTGTGTGTGTGTTTTTAATTAGATTAGTGTGTGTGTGTGTTAATCGGATTGACGTTGTAAATTGAACAAAAAAATGGAATAATAGAAATCTCAAACCACCACCGTAGGGTGGTGGCTGCCGCCACCGGCCGCCGTGTCGGGTGGCGGTGTGCTTGCCTTGTGAGTTTGATTCGTTTGGGGTGCTTGAAACCCTAATGGGCCTTGTAAGCCCTAATGGGCCCAATGAAGCCTAATGGGCTTAGTGAAAACCCTAATGGGTCTAATCGACCCTAATTAACCTAAGGAAAACCCTAATGGGCTTAATGATATTCTAGCGGGCCTAATATGCCCAATAAATCCCTAATTGACCTAAAAGCCCAACAAATTAATAAATGGGCTAGTATTTGGGTTAGAAACCCTAATTAGGGTTTGGAAAACCCTAATGCCAATAAAATCCTAATTTGGGGAATTAACCGGGACACACGGGAATTATTTAATAACTTGAGATATTAAATAATAATCATTGGCAAAGATTAATCTAAGCAATATTGGACTTAATGGATTAAGTCCTTAGAGGATTAAGTCCTTAATGGGTTAAGTGAGAAACAGTTAACCCTAATCGTCATTTTATGTGAAACCCTAATTTCACTTGGGTTTATTGTTGGGCCTCTGTATTGGGCCTTGATGATTGGGTTATTAATGGGCCATCCAAAGTCAAGCAATTGGACTAGAATAATTTAATGGGCCTAGGGTAAGGCCCATGTAAGGGGTTTGGGCCCAATTTGGAAAATTGGGCCATAGATGGGCCATAGTTTGGGCCTTAATGATTATATGATGTTGGGCCTTAGAATAAGACCATGTATAGGCCTGGGCCCAATTTGGAAAATTAGGCCATGTGTTGGGCTTTGATTTCCTAGTTGACTTTGGGCCTATGGATTGGGCCTTGGGCTTGCATAAAGCCAAGCTTGGAGTAATGTAGTAATTATCCAAAGTATGTACTCATGGTTATGTAGTGGAACCCAATTATTAATTGGGTGTTATTTTGGTGTTGACAGTTCGGGAATCTGTCATCCAGCAGTTGGGGTTGAGTCTGCGGGACTTCAGCAGTGTGGGATTGTGTCTACGGGACTTCAGCAGTGTGAGGTGAATTACCTTCCAGTAGAAGTGGGTCTACGGCCACAATGCCGGCCCATTAGTATGAGTTGTTTGTTAGATGATTGTCTTTGTGATAATTATCTGGTGTGTTGTTATCTGATATGCTTTATGTGCTAGGATGCTATGACATATGTGTTAGTAGTGGTAGGGGTGATATAGCCCCTAGTTACCGGTTGAAAGATACCGAAGGGGTAGATAGTACCCATGCATGCCTAGCAGTATGATTATGATATGTTATTATGTGATAGTGGTAGGGGTGAAATAGTCTCCGGTTACCGGTTGAAAGATACCGAAGGCAGTTACCGGTTGAAAGATACCGAAGGGGTAGACAGAACCCATGCATGATATGTTATAATGTGATCAATATGCTTATGATATGTTATTATGTGATACTGGTAGGGGTGAAAAAGTCCTCGTTTACCGGTTGAAAGATACCGAATGGGAGGTTAGTTCCCGGTTACCGGTTGAAAGATACCGAAGGAGAGGTTAGTTTCCGGTTACCGGTTGAAAGACACCGAATGGGAGCCCAGCTCCCAGTTATGCCAGACAGATACCGGTTGAAAGATACCGAGGGACAGACATTATGTGGTATGTATGATGGGGGGACTTACTAAGCTTCGTGCTTACGGTTTACAGTTTTGGTTTCAGGTACTCGTTTTCAAAGGAAAGGGGCTGGTTTGATCGCAGCGCATCACACTATGTTTTCCGCACATGAGATCTTTGGGATTACACTCTGATATGGTTTTATGATAATACGTTTTAATTATTGACATTTTGGTTTTGACATTAGATTTTAATATGAATGTTTTTATACTGATGGTTTATATAATAACTTAATTAAAACGAAAGTTTTGGTCTTAAATTTTGGGATGTTATATATATATATATATATATATATATATATATATATATATATATATATATAGAGAGAGAGAGAGAGAGAGAGAGTGTGAGAGAGAGAGAGCTTAGGTGTTGAATTTTGAAAGATTTGATATGAGTTCTCGATTGCACCAACATGTAATCGTAAATATTTAGTATTAATTTAATTTTCAAAATACATGCTCATATATTAAGTCTTTGACTTTTATAAATTAGTTGCCAATTAAATTTTTAATTGCTGATTACTCTACGAGACATCAACCTGTAAAACGAACCACAAGATTGACACCTAATACGTTGGATGGTGAATTATCTAGTCCTTGTGTAATTTCTACACAACATTGACAATAATATCATAGTTTCTTTAGTATCTATAATTTTTTAACACAGTATATAGCTATCTAACACGTTGTCGACATGGTATGATTATGCAAATGGGGTCTGCAAATACATAATGTGGGACCTATAATTTAGATATAAAGAGATTTGGGTCAAAGTATTATCAATCTATAAATAATAGTAAACCCTAGCAAAGGAACAACATCACCAAAGAAGATAAAGGCATGATGAAAACTCCCTCAACTTTCTTGGTCCTCTTCTCTCTTCTTTTGGTATGCACTCATCCTAAATTCATCTTCTTCGCTATTTCTCGCAACCTTTTACTTTTACGATTTTCTTCTTTTTAAATCTTTTAGACAAACCAAAAAAATTATGAGATAAAGTTTTGTCGTTTGTTAATTGATTCAAGGACGATAATTTCTTGGATGACAATGATTAGTAGTATTCAAATTTCAAGCTTGGGATACATAAGTTGTTTTACGCAAACCAATCTATGTTTTCTTTAGGATTTTATTTTCATATGATACTATTATTCTTTCATTTCCATTAGAAGAAATAATTCTAAGCTCTAATTTTGTTTTGCCATGCCGTTTGTTTCCATGATCAGATTGTGAGTAGTAATGAAGCTAGAAGTAATCCAGGAAAATATTGGAGAAGTATAATGAAAGATGAGCCCATGCCAAAGGCCATTCAAGATATATTGCCTCTTGAAGATGTTAAGAAAGCAAATAAGGATGTATTCATCAGAAACTTTGATTTAAAACCGAATCTCATAATTTATCACTCTCATGTGATGTACACTGAAAAAAATCATCGAATAGTCTCGTCTTCTTCATCATCTGATAAGTTAAATTAATTAGTCAAATATGTTTATATATGTTTTCTTATGAAAAAATGGAATCTTGATTCTTATGTATGGATTGTAGTTTTGTTATTAGTGGTTATGGACTTATTATAGTTCATAAATAGTTTAATTTTAGCATCATTAATTCTGGCCCTAGTGTTTTTGGAAGTATATATATATCCTCCCCTTTGGTTTAATTTTATATATATTCGAATTTGCTTGGGTTAGAATATGATTTGATTAAACATATTATACAATAATTATGCTTGATTTAATATCGAAAATGGGGCTCCAAAAAAACTGTGTTGACGAGTCTTCAAATGCTTGAACTCTTAAACAGGTGCAAACGTAATGAAAGAACGATGTTAAAAAAATCGTGTAACTTTTAAGCTTTCGTAGAGCCAAAATGGTGTTATAGGACATTATAAATGTTTGCTTATATTATTAAATAAATATTAGAGTAAATCTAAAATATGATCCCTATGGTATAGCTAAAATTATAACTTTGGTCAGTGTCGGTTTTTGGATGTATGGCTAGTTCCCGTGGTTTAATTTTCTTGCAAAAACAGTCTTTCGGTCGTTTAATCTACCAGTAAATTGTTAAACTTAATGATCATGTTACCCTTTAGTAATTTACTTAGTTTATAAAGTAAATTACATTTTTGGTCCTTAGGGCTGGCATTCGTCTACAAATTTAGTCCAAGTTTTGAAAAATTGCTACACATAGTCATCATGGTTTCAAAAATCACCAGGTTGTTCCTTTACCCTAGTAGTCACAAGATCAATATTTAATCACATGATAAAATAAACATTTCATTATCTTTTAATTTTATTCATATTTTGTTCTTGTTTAAAATTGAGAAAGTAGGAAGTTTGAGACTATTCCAAGTAACAAAGCAAGCATCTTAGAGTCATCATAGATGCCAATCGGTGCTCTATTATCATCCTCCAGCAACGTGACGAGCATAGTTATATCTTCTTCTATATAGTTCAAGTAATTCAAATCAATTTAGAATTTATAAGATTTTTCTTTTATTAGGGAGGAGGGAGTCATTCCCTCCCAACCCACAGTCACATCAGTTTTTGTCTCTCTTTTTTATTCATCTTTCACAACCCACAACACACGGAAATTCTATTTTTCTCAACTCACTCAACCCACTCAATTTAAAAAAATACAAAACAACTAAGGTACAAGTCTTAAAACACATGGTAAAAGAGAAAATGAGAGAGAGAAAGTAGACAGAGATGATGAAGTGGGTTAGTGAAACCAATTAAACAATCTGCTGAAGAGTGAGTGGTACCGGCGGTAACTCTATTTCTAATTAAGATTTTACTTTGATTGTTTTGTATTTTTTTTAATTGAATGGGTTGAAAAAGATAGAGTTTTCGTGTGTTGTGAGTTGGGAAAGCTGAAGAAAAATGAAAGAGAAAAACTGATGTGAGTGGGTTGAGTGGGAATGACTCCCTCCTCCCTTAAGAACACAAAATTACAACTACAGGTGCATTTGGATTTACTTCTTACTGTCCAAGTTTCTTTTGTGATCCAAGATGGTGCTCATGTGAGTCTTTAAACCTAAAATATTGAAAAAAATATATCATATTAAATTTTTTACCTAGTTAGGGTCTTAGGGATTCATAAGAAAGTGAGCAAGAAATATAGGCCCAGCTTGCACATGAGGACATGGTTCTAGGCCCAACGAGGGTTGTTCGGTGACTGAAACATAAACTGGGGAGAAAAGGGTTATGGCGTCGTTAGGAGCTGATGGAAGTAAATAGGGATGAGCAACGGGCCAAACCTGGACCAGACCGGCCCGAAGACCGAAAACCCGAACACCGAAAATCGTGAATTTTCTTACCCGAAAACCGGACCGTTTTTGGATGTATCGGGTTCGGGTTCGGTCCGGTCCGGTCTCGGGTACTAAACCGGGTTTCGGGTTTTGGACCGAACTAGGCTTTGAAATTGGTACAATGCGGGACTTTACTTAGATCACGTGCAAATGAGGTGTCTACAAAAAAATACAAACCTTATTAACATTTGGAACAAATAAAAATTACACTATTTAGCATAAAAACTACATTTTTTAATAAAAAAAATGCATGTTTTAACAAAAAAGAAACAACATTGTTAATAAAAAAACTGCATTTTAACAGCTTTTTTGTGTAAAAAACAACAAAAAACAGCATTATTTATAAAAAAAAACGACATGTTTTTATAAAAAAAATTTGCATGTTTGAACAAAAAATAGCATGCTAGATACATTCTTTCTTGTAAAGTGATAGGAACAAACGTTGATCAAGATTTATAAATAATGTTACAATAAAAACATCAAGTTTTATACATAATGTTATATATAACATTAACTAATAATTCAATATCCTTATCTATATATTTTAAGAAGAAAAAAATTTCCGGTCCAGTCCGGGTTAAATCCCGTATTCCGGATACGGTCCGGTCCAAACCCGAAACCTGATTAGTGGTAAAAACAAAACCCGAAAACCGGCCCATTAGTATGTATATCCGGTCCGGTCCGGGTCCGGTCCCGGTTTTTTTCCGGTCCGGTCCGGTCCAACGGGTCATATGCTCATCCCTAGAAGTAAATGAATAATTCCAAAAAATATAAAAATAAATAAAATAAATAAAAAAAATAAAACAAAAAAAACTCAACTTTCTGACGAGATATACTAGCGTTAACATAAAAGCATGCAATTAAAGTTTTCAGTGATCTATATTTAACCGATTAATAGGAGACAAACTTAAGCACAGTAGAACAAGAACCACAACTTTGACAAATAGATATTTAAATTTTATTATCTTATAAAAAACACTTCACAATTCTAATTTTACCAAATATTTCAAACAAAACTACAACCTTGGTTTCTTTAATACTAAAACAATTTGATGGTTCTACAAGTCGGTAACCCTTTGAAACTTCAACAATTCACTGATGTAAGAATAAGAGGAGAACTATAAGAGAAAATTATCATATTTTCAGGAGAACAGAAGATTAAGAGGATCAATTCAATAGCAAATTCACAATTAGATATTCAGAAAGAAGGAAATTAGGAGGTGTGAAAGCTTTCTTAGGTTGAGAACGAGAGAAGTAAGAGAATTGTGAAATTTATTTCTTTAGAATTAAGATTAACGAGCATGTGTTTGATTCGTCTTCTCCGGACTGATATCTCCTCCGAACGCTTCATCTTCTTCAACTTCACTTTTTTGAGGCTGTTTGGGATTTGCTTATTTAACTCCAAAAATGCTTTTGGACAAAAGTACTTATTGACTTTAGGATGATGGGAAGATGATTTTTTTAAAAAGTGTTTGGATTAATTTTTATGGTGACAAAAGCCGATAAGTCAATAAATCTTTTTAAATGGTTGATGTAGGCTTATACATGTAAAATGACCAAAGATGAGAAAAACATGGGCTATATTAGGGTATTTTGAGATACAAATATAATTTCAATTTAAAAAAGTCAAAAGTCATTCAAAAAGCCAACTATTCCTTACTTTTCAATTCCTCCTTTTTATACCTTTACAAAAATCATTTCAAGAAGCACTTTTCTTATACCCAATAATTTTTTAATTTATTGGCATTTTGAAAAAGCAAGTTATTTCAATAAACAATCCCAAACACTTAATTAATGATGATGTTGGTTAGGAGATTGGAAAGTCAGAAATCGTGCATGACAAATGGATTTCAATTGCTGCCTAATGTTGATTAGGACTAGGACTAGGCCCAACGCCTCCTTTTCATTTGGACTAGATGTTAAGCTTTAGGGATAATGGACTAGATTAGAGTTTTGGCCAATATAACATAGACACCCATAATCCGATGCCCTATTAAAAAAATTTGATGCCCTAGGTTGTGGCCTGACTTGCACTGGGTTTGGGCCAACCCTGGAAACAAACAACAATCAGAACCCACAACGTATCTTACATCAATATCGTCAACTATCTCGATTACATTATGCATAATAGAAGGTTGGTAATATAAATTCATCTATGTAATCTGCTATATAGGAAACTTGCTAGCCACTATATGAACTATGTAAGGTAAAACACTTAGACCAAGTTGTCATTTCCACAATACCACAAAGAACATTTCACTAATTTACCCAAAAAATTGTTATGCGATGGAAGTCTAGTGCTTGAGGTGGGAAATTTCACACATAATCTTCCGGGTTCAACCTAGTATTCTTAAAATATTGGTATTGTTCCGTGATTAACCTTCCAGGTGAACCTTGTGACGAACTAATATGAGCCCTTTTTTTTTAATTTACCCTAAAACTAATGAAGTGAAAAGTTCCGAATATTCTAGTTTTGAAACAAAAAGTACGCAACAATGAGACATCTAGAAATGAACAACTCAACAAAATATTTAGATAATCTATTTCGTACATGTAAATGATATATCTATAAACAGAATGACAATTTGGGTGTTGAATTATGAGAGACTCTATTCTGGCTCTAATAAAAAATAAACAATACACACACATATAAAATTTGTAACCTTGCATAGTTATTTAACACATGTTGATGCTAGCCTTAAATTTGAGCAAATCCAGACCAAAGAATCGGGATGTTCAATAAGATACGCCCAAGATCAAAATAAATATGGCTCAGGTTAGCAACGATTATAAATTAACGATTAGACGCGGTTTACGTGAGTGTGATAACCCAAAAAAATAATTTGTATTAGACGAATATATGGTTAATAATTGCGGAGAAAATGGGGAGACCCATTGCTTTTACATTTTAAGCATATAATAACCTCAATTCAAGCGCATACATAAGGGACTGACCCACCGCCAACATGACTCACATGTCGAAGCCCATTTCTTGTCCATTTTTTATTCTAATTATGTATTTAATTTTTGACGGATAAAATCATAGATGATTTTGTTTCATTAAACAAAGAAAAACACAACTCTATTATACTTTTATTATTTAATATGTAATTCAATTGTTATAAAATGGAACATATGTTAATACTAACAAGATAGTTGTTGATTACAAAT